GAATGAATTCGTGATGTGGTCTCATCGGAAACAATTACCTATTAGGATAATTAAATTTCTATTATCAGTAGCAAAATAAAGGAAGATTGCTATTTGAGATGAGATAAAAAATTTGGCCATTCTACTCAGTTCCTGCTTTTGTCTTTCTGTCAGCTTGAGAAAAAGTAGGGTTATCTATTAAGGAAGTGAAACATCAGAAAATTCTATAAAGAACAATTAACACTTCCCTCAGTAATTCCTTCGTTTAGAGAATTTTCGAACCTCCTTTCTGAATCAGGCTGCTACAAGGTTTTGTGTTCATGTGGGAATGTCTGCGTGGGGGAGACCTGTAAACCTATACAGAAGAGACTGAGCAAAAAACCGCTTTTAAAGTTCTATGGGTCCAAAAATCTAAGCTCGCTGAAGATATGGCTAATACAGGACACTCGATTGACTGGTGCGGGATAGGTTTTGCTGGTTATGGGGACTTCATATAAAGGCGTAAGTTTATGATGTCTATAGAAATTAACAAAACAGTTAATGTTATGGATAGAACGAGTGTAGACAATTTAGTAGAAACTATTTGTGGCTGTTGGATAGTCTTGAGGATAAGGAGAGCAGGAAAACAACTGAATAATAGGCAGGATTGGCCTGGAGTCTAGCTAGTGCTATCACACTCCCTTGACATTAACGTTACAGACGCACACTAAATTATAGAACAAACCCAAACATGAGCCAACATCACAAGAACGTGTGCTAGCTTCTTTTTGTAAGGTAACAGTTGCCACCGAACGCAGTTCTTGCTCTTGAATTGACTTCACTTATCTGTAAGCATGTAGAATACGTTTAAGATAGCTAACTAATGAGATGCCTCGTTAAGATCGTAAGGATAGGTGTATAGAAGGTGACCTTGTTTGCAGCTGGCCACCTTTTCTTTTGTTAATATATTTTTCCTTTATTTTGTAAAGTATGGATTATTGTTTTGATGATGTATGTCACAGTACAGACGAAAGTTTAACAGTTTCATTGAGGTCGCAGTATGGTGAGCGGAGGATTTACTCGCACAATACAGCAGTCTTATCTACGTAGCAATCCCCCGGTTTCCGATGAGACCACATCGCAACTTCCTTCCGACTAACTCTTCCTTCGAAATGGAAATTCATGTCACAATATATCAATAAGGAATTCTTCGAAGGCCATTTTTTCATATTAGTTGTTTTCATTCTATTTCGTTTAAGATGATGTAAGACTGTTAGTTGGGTTTTCCCACAATTACATAGCTAGAACTGACGTTTTTATTGAATTTCACATAGCCTTGCTTTCACAAAAGGTGTTTTCATCCAGGGTGAACTGCATCACTGGTCATATTCCCGACCAGATTGATTAAATAATCAAATTAACATTGGAAGTAGAGGAAGGCGAGTGGTTACCTTTCCTGAGTGTTAAAGTGATTCGCTCTTATAGAACGATCAAAAAGAAATTGTTCCGAAAGAAGTCTTATGCTGGGATAATACTCAATTTCCAGTCTCATCACAATTACAGGCTAAAGATAGGAATAATGAGAAGCATAATCATCCGAAGCCTACTCTTAACTGATGTAGAATTTTGGGACGAGGAGGTAAAAAAATTGATTGGGATATCCCTCGTCAACGGCCACTAAATGGAAGTAATATAAAGAAACATATAGCCCGTGAAGAGCCGATGGCAGTACGGGGACTATCGAAGAACAGTAAGGACGGAGAAGGATTAGCAAAAGTGGATATGCCTACCTTCTTGTGAACTTACTCAAATTCGGGAGATGATTATTGAAGGCAATGCCTTCAATGCAAGCATGGGAATCAGAGCCTAAGCGCTCTGTTTGGTGAGGCGGGAGTTGTACGTGCTTTTAGGGCCTTGAGAAATATCGCCTGGAGTGAAACGCACACAGACTAGAACCGACTGAAATCGGTCAATCATAAAGATAAGAAACAGATCTACCATGACGGAGATACGGATTAGAGGCCCGAGTCGGATTAGCTAATCGAAAGAGGAAGTTGGGGTGAATAGAAGGTGTGATGAGGCCACACTAGATTTGCCACAAAGGGCACACATTTTGATAAGTAAGAAGCTGTGATAGGGCAGGAGTTTGATAGGATGATAAAGAGTAGATAGATGGGCCAGGACAAAATGGGAAGTGATAGTTTAATAGTTTTCGGCAGAATGTTGGTCGAAGGACTTAATTTGTCTTTGGCGAGTTCGTATCATGGTGCGGAGAATGACAGCACTCACTGATGATGCCGGCGAACTGCTTGAGAATGTTTCAAGTCCACTGTTTGATGCTAGGAAGTTTAATAACTACTATGGTAGAAGACTTCGGACTAGGTGAGTTCTAAGTCGCCCTGACAACAAGACCAAGTTAAAACAATGAGGTTAACCAACTACCAATGCTATCATGTTTTAGTTATATATCTCTTTATTCTAGTTTTAAGTCTGTTTGATTGTTTCCATTTGTTTTGTATTGCCCTTTAATTTTGGGACTTATTGTTAGTTTTAGGGTATACTTTTGCCACTTCCCATACTTATGACAAACAGACATAGAGCGAACGTATTTCTTTAGCATCAATTTTTCCGTTCATTTTAGCGTCAATAAGACTTAAGGGAGTTTTATATTCTAAACAATTTTCTTTGTCCATCAGTGGTAATTTTTAAATATTTTTTTCCTAGGATATATACCGTATTTATCAAGCGGTAGAGACTCTGCCCGATGTTCGGGCACTTCTTCTCGGCTATAAGGGCCAACACGCCGACACAATACATGAATGCTTCATACTGCCATTAGAGGTGAGCTTGAATTACATAAATTTGCGCATTTATTAACACATATATATATATATATGCATAGCCTAGTAATCACAAAATCTTACGGACAATTTAGGAATCGTCTCAACGAGACTTTTTCTTTAGCTATCTTTCATTTAAATACTTTGCGCTTTAACGCTTCCATTCTGATGTCAATTTCGAGTGTAAACATTCCAAGTTACTAAAAATCACTAAATATTTTATCAAAGGCGAATTGCTTTTGCGTGTTTCTCGTTTTTGAATTCTTTATTTCATTAGCACATTATTCGAGTTCGATTATTTTTAGAAATCTTTTTTATTTCCAATGGTATCTCTTCGTCAAACGCATCTATTAACTTCATTTAATTTCGTTTTGAAATGTTATTTTTATTTTATTTACTTTCTAGGAGTCTATAGGAAATTTTTCTAAATATCGTGAGATGGTTCAAGCAACAATTGATCTACCTCTAGCAGAGAACCGTGGCGAGTTTGCAGTGAAGCCAGAATTCGATCCTTCGCTGAAAGGTGACTTCTGTATGCCTTAGATATGACATTCGCCTTTGATCTATACTTCTTTATGTATCATAATACCTAAGAAAATCTGTTATAACTGTAAATATCATACTTAAGTCATTTTAAGTATTTTAAGTTCATGCAAGAACTGATCGTTTATTTTCCTTTAATCAAATGAGGGGATATT